TCAAAGCGTACTTGCAGAGCACCTTAGTGTTTTAACTAAGAAAACKATGTAGATACCTTATATTCTGTAAAGAGACCAACTGGTCGGTTTGGTTTAACTCGCACTGCAATGTCTCCTTCGACGTTCGGTTCGCATTCATTGCAATCATGGTCTATAATCTTAAAAAGTACTTGCAGTTATTATACCGTGGAACCTCGTTAATCCGATCATTGAAAGGTCGTCGAAGAATGGCCCATTAACAGGGTGGTCGTTTTAACCCGGCGAAAAGGTGTGAGGTTTTAAATCTAATAAATTGGAGCTATTGCAATGTACATCATCAACAACTGTACAAATGAACTCAGTTACTTTGTAATCACATACCCTAACGTCGTAGCCCGGAGCTGCTTTTCCCATTGATCCTGGTCGATTCTCGTTACATCGAAATGAGCCGCATAAAAGAGTCTGTTAAACATTCMATCAAAAAATATCTTACATTTCTAGACATGGAATTAAAACAATGGCGGAACATATAGTGGACAACTTTATGAAGGGGGGCGACACGCATGCGAACATACTGTACATTTTYCATATGGGCCTCAATGTTTTAGCATATTTTACCATACCGTTTCTGTTTGGCCGTATCCTTCACGTATTTCGAGTCCAGTCGCCTGCCGCCATTCGTCCATCACTTCAGGGTTGATTGGTTCTCCTGCGCTTAAGCAATGTCTCAACTTAGGAAACTTAAATTCTTTGACATTTTCATGAACCATCATTCGATACCCAGTGGGTGGGGAGCAGAACGTTGAAATGGGGTACTTCTGAAGGACCTCTAGGACCGACCTGGCATTGAAYGGTGCGTTATGTATAAAAGTGCAAGCTCCTTGAATCCAGGGACCAAAAAGACATCCATAGGCACCCTTGGCCCAGCCCGTGTCTGACATGGTCCAGTGTACGTCATCAGGGCACAAATCCAACCAGTACCTGGAAAAATCGCACAAGTGAATGTGAGGCCGATGCACGTTTAGAATTAAAACCAACACGATCGACGTCGAATAATTGGAGACGACGAAATTTGGTATAAATTAGGAATTTAAAGGAGGAACAATAGGGATTCGAACTCATGACACTCGGTTTCCTAAGCATTCTACTGGGCTCTACAAGGGCGGATCCAGGGAGGGGCAAAGGGGTGCTGCAACCCTCCTTTGWGCATAAAAGGTAAACTGTTTTTTATTATTTTCAATGTTGTTTACAACAAATAAAGCCCATTTATCCCCCCTTAAAACCATTTACCCCCTAAAATTCCAGCTGGATCCGCCCTTGCTCTAACGCATGTTCTTAAATCATATAAACGTTCATTTCGTACTTTCCTGTCGTGATATGTCCCAGAGCGTATGAATGGGGCTGTTCTGTCATCTTKGGGAGTCCAGTCGTTCCACTCGTAAAGAATAACATCAAGGGTTCATCACTTAACGTTGGAGCACACTGGAATGATATGAACAACATATAATATCATTGACGATACGATAACCATTACCATAACAAATCTCCACTATTTGAGAATAATTGGCATGTGTTTATCATTATTATATAACAAGGCGAGGCAGGATGTGTGTTAGGCATAGAATTCG